CCTCCTCCACCGGTACCCCACTCCCGCCACCACCTCCACCGCCACCCCCACTCCCCCCGCCACCCCCACCTCCTCCGCCACTGCCTCCTCTAGATCCACCCGCTCCCTTGCCCCCCTTGCCCTCGCCAGAGCGGCGTCTGCCGCTGGGGGCAGACGCCGCACCGACGGACTCAAAACCAGCGAGGTCGGCCATAGCAGCAGAGGCGACAGAGGGCAGCAGGGGGGAAGGAGAACACCCCTCAAAGATGGGGGTGCGAGGGTCACCCCTAGAGGCCCCTACAGCGACTATACTCTTCTCAGCCGCTAGCAGGGACTCCTCAAGGAGGTCGACAGTGAGGGTGGTGGGACAGACAGCGAGAAACTGGTCCCTAACGACACGAAGGGACTCAGGAAGACGGGTGACGAGAAAGTAGAGAGTGATATACATGGGAGGAGGGTTTGCGGCGCGGAACTCAGCAGGAAGGGCAGCGCGGTAGCGAGCGTCACTAGTGCGGAGGTGGGTAACGAGGTCAGCGACAGTGGGAAAGGAAGCGAGGTCAGGGAAGAGAAACGGTAGCATGAGGCGGCTAAGGGTAGCGGAGGAAGGAGAGGAGTAGCGTGCAACTACAGCGTCGTACAAGGCCTGAGCGGTCTTGCACTGACTAAAGTGGGCACGCTCAGAGGAAGGGAGGTGGCGACGCACAGCAAGACGTGCAGCAGCATCGCGGGTCGCCCACTTGGAGCGAACGGCAGAGTCAGCATCAGCAGGCGGGGCAGGGACAGCTCCAGAGACAAAGTCAAAGAGAGAGACCTCATCTATCGCATCACACAGTAAGTACAGCTGCAGGTCTTCAATCCAGACGGCAAAGTCAATGGCCCTCCCCTCAGCGTCAAAAGTAAGAACATTGGGGGTGGCCATGGCAGCAGCTGAAAGTCTCACCGGGCTGGAAGAGTCGGGTAGGTCAGCAGCAGAGGAACACAGCTCAGGGACAGCAGCACGGCTCCTCAGGTGGCTCGCGTGGCTCAGGCGGCTCGGGCGGCTCGGGCGGCTCGGGCGGCTCGCGCGGCTCGGGTGGCGTAGGGGCTGACGGGCGGCGCGGGCTGCTGGGGCTGCTCACGTGCAGTACGGCGGGCTGCAGCAGGGCCGGTGGTGGGCTGTAGCAGGGCCGGTGGCGGGCTGTAGCAGGGCCGGTGGCGGGCTGCAGCAGGGCCGGCGGCGGCTGTAGCAGGGCCGGTGGCGGGCTGTAGCAGGGCCGGTGGCGGGCTGTAGCAGGGGCCGGTGGCGGCTGTAGCAGGGCCGGTGGCGGGCTGTAGCAGGGCCGGCGGCGGGCTGTAGTAGGGGCCGGTGGCGGCTGTAGCAGGGCCGGTGGCGGGCTATAGCAGGGGCCGGTGCGGGCTGTAGTGGGGCCGACGAGGGGCCGAAGTGGGGCCTAGGCGGGCCGGCGGGCTGTAGGCGGGGCCGACGCGGCGGGCTGTAGCAGGGGCCGGTGGCGGGCCTAAGCGGGGCCAGCGCGGGGCCGACAGGGCGTAGGTGGGGCCGACGCGGGGCCGAAGAGGGGCCTAAGCGGGGCCGACGGAGCCTACGCGGGGCCGACACGGGGCCGAGACGGGGCCTGGGCGGGGCCTACGCGGGGCCGACGAGGTGTACGCGGGGCCGACGAGGTGTACGCGGGGCCGACGAGGTGTACGCGGGGCCGACGAGGTGTACGCGGGGCCGACGAGGTGTACGCGGGGTCGACGAGGTGTACGCGGGGTCGACGAGGGGTACGCGGGGCCGACGAGGTGTACGCGGGGCCGACGAGGTGTACGCGGGGCCGACGAGGTGTACGCGGGGTCGACGAGGGGTACGCGGGGCCGACGAGGGGTACGCGGGGCCTACGCGGGGCCGACGAGGGGTACGCGGGGCCTACGCGGGGCCTACGTGGGGCCGACGAGGGGTACGCGGGGCCTACGCGGGGCCGACGAGGGGTACGCGGGGCCGACGAGGGGTACGCGGGGCCTACGCGGGGCCGACGAGGGGTACGCGGGGCCGACGAGGGGCCTAAGCAGGGGCCGACGAGGGGCCTAAGCGGGGCCGACGAGGGGCCTAAGCGGGGCCGACGAGGGGCCTAAGCGGGGGGCCGACGAGGGGCCTAAGCGGGGGGCCGACGAGGGGCCTAAGCGGGAGCACGACGGGAGGGGCGACTCGGAGGGTCGCTAAAAAAAATGCGCGCCTCGGGGCGCGCTTCAGTGGGCCCTAGGAACAGGCCCTAGGAAGGGACCTGCTCTGATTCCATGAGAAAGTACGAACGAGAAGTGAATGACTATGAAAAAGAAGTGGGTACAAATAGGAAACCCTAATTGGGTTGTACCCCCTATGGGATACCCCACTATAGCATACAGAAATAAGTAAGCTATATGTTCTGACAATCCATTCATAATTATGCTTTAGCGGACCTTAAAATTTTGGATGTATGCCCAAAATAGTGTTTTTATGGACTTTGTCGTTACAGAGTACGAGTCTTGTGGACCCCGAATGAGACATTATCGAAACAAAGTTTGAAGGAAAATTCCAATTTGTACCTAGCATATGTGAAACCCCGCATTATTGGGACCAAGTTTATCAGAACTTTCTTTGCGACACACTTACCGCAGAATTGTACAGTGCCATCGCGTGGGCGACCCCGAAGGTTCCAGGAAACCTTTTACGCCCCTGGTGCACAATCCCCTCCCGCTTTGTTGTATGGATTTTTTTTTTTTTTTTTTTTTTTTAAATTTGTTTTGATTGTCCCACCATCGAGGTTCAATTTCAATAATGCATAGCGCGTTACTACTCTGATTCTAACTATTCAACCCTAAACAATGAGACTATATAACTTCTTAACATTAAGCAATCAGTGTGATGTTTTTCTGTAAAATATGCACCCATAATACAGGGGGAAAATTTTCCCCGGATTCAGGGAGGCCTAATTTGAAACGTCAGCCCTGGTCGGAACGGGTTTCCCAAGAGCCATGAGAATCGAAGGTCGGGGTAAATGGAGGGTGTACCGCTTTTGTCAAATAGGAGGAAGTGGAGCTTCCGTGCTCGCTTGTGTCAGAAGAGTGAGCATAACAAGGAGCCATAGCTAGGGTTTACCTAGCTAGGCAAGAGAGAAATGAGCAAAGGAGGATGTTCACTAGCAAGCAGGAGGATACATATAGGAAACCCTAAGGGGTCGTACTCACTACAGAGTACCCCATAGCAGGCTAGACAAACTACATTCTGACACACCCCCATAGTCAAAGTGGGGTATAATCAGCACAACAAGCAGTCAAGAGCATGTTCACAAGTGCAAGCAAAGCTAGAGGCATTCACAAAGGGCAAGTGAGGAGGAGGAGGCGGGACTGTAAGAGGAGAGAAGATAGGTGGCAACGGCTGAAGCTGCAGACACATGGGCAACAGGAGCGGCTGGCACAGTGGCTACCGGGACAGCGCCCCGGACAACTGGAGTAACTGGCTCGGCGGCTACGAGGAGCGGCAGGAGCAACGGACCCATGGGCGACAGGCGCAGCAGGCTCTCTCGGCTACCAGGACAGCGCCCCGGACTACAGGTGCTGCGGACGACAAGACGGGAGCCTCCGCTCAACCTCCCCCAACTGTCCCACCCCCCTTTCACACACCCCTTGCTGCACCCCTAGCTCCACTCCCACGTCACCCCCCTAGCACCACTCCTTCGGCTCCCACACACCCACCCCCCTCAGCGACAGCTGCAGCAGTGGGAGACGGAGGAGGAGGAGGAGCAGGGGACGGCGGACACACCCGGCACCTCCATAACCGCCACCCCCACGCTCGCCACCCCCAAACCCTAAAACGGGTGGCACAGGGCAGGAGCGCGGGGGACGGCGCAAGGGACGGCGCGCGGCCCCCAGGGCGCCACGACGGGGCAGCGGGGGGCCGGGCACGGCTCCCCAGCGCGCCGCGACGGGGCAGCAGGGGGTCACGCACGGCTCCTCAGGGCGACGCGACGGGGCAGGAGGGGCCGCGCCCGGCTCCCCAGGGCGCCGTGACGGGATTGCGGAGGGCCGCGCGCGGCTCCCTAGGGCGCCACGACGGGGCAGCGGGGGGCCGCGAGCGGCTTCCTAGGGCGACGCGACGGGGCGACGGGGGGCCGCGCGTTGGTTTTCGGGGCGACGCGACGGGCTGTAGGGGGGGCGACGCGACCGTCGACGGGGGGGGGGACGCGCGGGTCCCCGGGGTGACGCGCGAAGAATGAAGCCGCCACGCGCCTCAGGGCGCACGGCGGGCAGAAAACCGCCATGCGCCCCGAGCGTGTGGCGGGAAGAAAAAAGCGTCGCGCGCCACGGGGCGCGCGATAGACAGGAAAGCAGCGGAAGCACGTGGGGCCCACAGGCCAAGAGCGTAACAGCTCTGATTCCATGTCAGAGGAGTAAGCATAACAAGGAGCCATAGCTAGGGTTTACCTAGCTAGGCAAGAGAGAAATGAGCAAAGGAGGATGTTCACTAGCAAGCAAGAGGATACATATAGGAAACCCTAAGGGGTCGTACTCACTACAGAGTACCCCACTGTAGGCTAGACAAACTACATTCTGACAGCTTGATGCTGGAAGATGTGCGTTGTCGCTTCTTGGTAGATTAGCGTCTGCTTCTGCATATATAAATCTTGAAGGCGATGAGAAATTAAGCTAAAATTACTGCAGTATCTCGAAGCTCGAGGAGGAGGAGCTGTGGTACCTGTGGGCAATTACATGTGCTTAGACCTCCAACTGTGGGCAGGCTTGAAAAGCGGTTAAGATGTTTAGTTCTTGAGGAGAGGGTTTTGAGCGGAACAATTACAAACAAGCTCAGTTGTAGGTCGAGTTTTATTGGAGATTCACGTGATGTACAACTCATTGTCAGAATGTTATTATCTAGCCTGTAGTGGGGTGCTTTATAGCGAGTACAACCCAGTTAGGGTTTGCTATATGTATCCCAACTGCTGCTAATGAATCCCCCTCCTTTCTTCAATTCTGTTTCTGCCTGCTAACTTTGACACTCATACCTATCACAACGGGGCAGCACACATGCAGCAAGCATGGGACACTTTGACATGCGACATGAGCTTCATCTGCTTGAGGAAGGCAGCAATTTTCTCGTCCTTCAGGAAGGCAGCGGCACTCCAAGTGTCGTACGTCTCCTTGGCTGCGGGTTTGTGCGCGTTGCCGAGCACATGAGCGGTGCTATGCGGAGGCCATTGCTCTAGCGCACTGTCCAGCGTCGAGCCGCAAACGAGGTCACACAGCACGCAGGTCCAGGGCTCGACGCTCATATCCGTGCCGATGAGGAGAATGCCGGGGTCAGCACGGACGGAGGTGGGGGCGGCTCGGGCTCCAAGGGATCCACCTGAGTGGTTTAAGAGGGAGAGGGCGGGCAAGGGAGAGAGGGCAGAATAGCACAGAGGGTGGAGGTGGGGGGTGGAGGTGGGGGGATAAGCAGTATTGTGGTAGGACTAGGGAAAGCTGACAGTGCTTTAAGGAGGGCAACGACAGGGCAAAAGCACATTGGAAGGCAAAGAGGGGGCAAAACCGAGGGGAATGGGTTAGGCTGTAAATTGTTACCGTACGACTTTTGCAGTTGAGCGACGGTGATTTGCGCTTTGTTGTTGAGGTGCCCCTTGCGCAGGCAGGGGAAAACCGCGTGATCCTCCACACGGTGGTTGCTAGCACATTTGGAGCACTCGTGGGTGGAGACGTTCACGGGGATGGCCGGGGACTTGCCACCAGTAGGAAGCAGGGCGGGAATAGAAAGGAAGTCCGGGTCGTCTGGCTGCGGGATGGGAATGCCGGTAAGGATGGGGAGAAAGACCCCGTCATAAGGGTCCTGCACGTGGTGGAAGGTTGATGCCAGCCAGCCAGCGGGGCACCAGATATGCGAAGATATCCGTATCTTCAAAGCGTGCCGGAACCATGCGTAGGGAGAGGATGGGGGAGCCGCTCGCTTTGGCCTCAGTGAAGTCAGGGTGGGGGTCGATGTATGGCTTGGCACGGATGGAACGTCCAGAGGATTTTTCGAAGGGGTGCCTGAAAACGGCATGAAACACATTAGCGGATTGCAGGGTCGGCCAAAAATAGCAGATCGACCCGTAAGAACGCCCGGCAAAGCGAAGGGTCTCGCCGTTGGTGGCGCGAGCTTCCGAGATGAATCCGCAGTTGAAGAGGGATGGGGTCAGCTTGGTGAAGATCGCGGAGATCAGCGGGGCGCGGACGACATCAGCTCCTCGCTCTGGAAAGAGCAGCGCAACGACTCTGCGGCTGCTCATCGGGAGGATGGGGGGGAGCAGGTCCGGGGTGGGCTGGCGGTGGGAGCGGAGAGGCGGAGGCCCGGGGGTTCGGTCCACCGACGGGGAGTTCAGAACAGCATTCGCGGTAGGAGCATCAGGCACCGAGGGGCTTGGGGCGGGAGCTGGCGGGGCCGTGGTGGGGGGTGCAATGTCGCTTGGTGCAGAGTCCGAGGCGTCGGCGGAGGAGCTGCTCGTGTTGGTATTGAGCTCCACGGTCATGCCTGGCATATTCACGGGGCCTTCCTTGACATCCGAGGCGACGGCGACCGATTCGTGCGGAGGGACACCGGAGTCAGTTGCGACACACAGTTTTATGGGGGCGGGTAACTCCGTGGGCGATCGAGAGAGGGGTAGGTTGGAGCCCGAGGGTCATCCGGTAGGTCCTCCCCTTCGAGCTGCCGGAGCATTTCGTCAGTGAGTTCCACGTCTTTGTCGAATTGCGGAACGTCTGCCATAGCGAGGGAAGAACAAGAAGAGACAGGGGAAATGGAAAACCAGGAAGAACTGAGTGCTGAGGGTTGAGAACTGGGGTTAAAAAAAGTCTTGTTGGAAGGCACTCACCTGAGTACTAAAGGCAAGGGGGAAGGAAGCAGCACGGGAGGGAAAAAGGCGGTGTATCGATGAGCATTGGAGCCAGGGTCTACAGAGGTCTTGAAAGGGCGGAAAGGTAGCTGGCCGCTCAGTCCACGTGGATATCCTCGCGGGCAGAAGGCGGTGCCACAGGGTAGTTGAGGCGCGGGGAGTGCCGAGGTCAATGAAGGCTAGGAACAAGGGGAATAAAACGGATGCATAGGCATTTGCTACAACTTATCTGAAAGGGTGACCGGCAGCCTGATCGGTGTTTTGAGTCTATTCGCCATACCCGCTCAAAGGCACGGCATATGAAGGAGGTTGAGAGCCAAGCTCGAGGTAACATGAAGGGAAGGAACTTGTGAGGTAAAGAGTTGAAAGAGTGGGAAACAAGCCTCGAGGGCATGCTAAGAGAGTGTGAGCTGGAGCGGAGTTCTCTTTGTGAAGAATGAGGAATGAATGAACTAGGAAAGAGGTGGGTACAAGTGGGAAAACCTAGAAATGATGTACCCCATATTGTCTACCCCACTACAGCCTACACAGACTATAGCATATAAGTTTGACACACCCCCATAGGCAAAATGGGGGAGAACAAGAGATCACAAGACCAGTCAAGCAAAGCAAAGCAAGCTCAGGGTGAATCACAACGTCACCACACAATCCGAGCACAAGAGCAAGGCCAAAAGGCCAGTTCACATGCAAGATCATATATAAAGGTAAACAGTCAAGTGCAGGTATAGAAAGATCACAGTACAAGCAAGGTCAAGAAATGAGCAAGTGAGGCAAAGTAGGCACAAGACCTAGCATCGTACAGAAGCGCTGATGATCACAAGTCGGAAGTGCCTTGGTAAAGATATCAGCAGTGTTGGCCTCAGAGGCCACGTAAGCAAGGCGCAGCTGACCACGCTGCTGCAGCTCACGAGCAAGGAAGTAGCGAAGAGCAATGTGCTTCGTTCTGTGCTCCAGTCTGTGCTCCTGACACAAGGCCAGCATGGCCTTGTTGTCTACGTACAGAACTAGAGGAGAACGAGGCGGCTCTCCTAGGTCAGTCAGCAGGTAGGTGAGCCAGCGTAGCTCCTATGCAGCCATGGCCCCCGCGTAGATCTCATCCTCACAGCTGGAGCCGAGAACAGAAGTCGAGCGGGTAGCCCGCCACGAAACAGAGCCGGAACCAAGGCTGAAGGTGTAACCCTGTGACGACCGCTGCGTAGCCTGGTCGTCAGCCCAAGAAGGGTAAGCGTGACCGGTGAGGACCACTCGACGTCGCCCTCCAAGCACTAGCCCCATGCCCGACGTACTGCACAAGTAGCGCAACACCCTCTTCGCTGCAGCCATGTGCTCTGGTCGGTGTCTCCCAGGAGCAACATAGCGTGCCGAGATGCTAAGAGGGTATGCTAGGTAAGGTCGTCTGCAGGTCATCAGGTACATGAGGCAGCCAACAAGCTCTGGGTACGGGCCACTCGGCTCTACGGACTCATCCGAAGGCAGAGGTGAAAGCGAGTGGCGAGTAGACAGAGGAGTGGCCTGAGGCGAGGAGTATGTGAAGTCGAAGCGCTGAAGCACCTGCTGCACCATGTGTGACTGAGTCAGGGTAATGGTGCGGTGTGCTCTGTCCCGGGTGATCTGCAAGCCAAGGTAGCTGCGCAGTTCACCCAGGTCTGTGCACGTGTGTCTCTTCTGCAACTCCGACTTCACGTGGGCGAGCCCAGCAGTGTCAGCTATGGCAAAGACCAAGTCGTCGACGTACACGAGGATGTAGAACGGCGGCAAAGAGGTGTCGGTGCGCAGAAACAGCGACGGGTCGGCAATAGAAGGAGCAAACCCAAGAGCCGCAAGTGTAGTCCTCAGTGTGTCGTGCCACTCACGGGGCGCCTGGCGGAGACCGTAGACTGGCCGCCGGAGGCTCCACTGGGTGCCAGGAGGAAACGACCCAGTGAAGCCAGGTGGGCGGCGCAGCCAGATCTCCTCGTGCAGGCTGCCCTGCAGGAAAGCTGTGCTGAAGTCAAGAGAGTGAAGCTCGTGGTCGCGCTGAGCGGCTATGTGCAGCAGCACCCGAAGAGTGGTCATCTTTGGGGTGGGTGAGAAGGTCTGAAAGTAGTCAACTCCCTGCCGCTGACTGAAGCCTCGAGCCACGTAACGCGCCTTGAAGACAGGCGGAGAACCTGGCGGCCGCTTCACCCTGAAAATCCACATGCCACTGACGATGTTCGCCCCAGGTGGGGGAACCTCGTCGACGTAGGTGCCTGTGGACTTCCAGGAAGCCATCTCTACGTCCATGGCTGACTACCACTGTGAGGAGTAGGGACCCTCGATCGCCTCAGCGTATGATCGAGGAGTCGGGATGTGTGGACACGAGATGAGGCAAAGCAGGAGCAAAAAACTGGAACTCCTCCTGCCTGTCCTCAAGGACGTCCGTGCCAAGAGCACACTCACCCCCGACGGACGGAGGACAGACAGACTAAGACTCAGCAACAAGACTAGCGGCGTAGTCTAGACGACAGCGAGCAGCAAAGCCGACAAGCTCAGCAACTAAGGCAGACGCAGCAATGGACTCAAAGGAAGGGTCAGTGACAACTGTGGCCAGAATACGCGGGACAGTAGGACTGGCAGCACAAAGAGAGTCAGATTCCGGGTCAGCAAGAACAGGAAGAGAGGACTCTGGAGGAGACGGCAACGGGACACGTAGAGGAGCAGTGGAAGGACGCAGTGCCATCAAGTGTGTGCCTGGGACCGCAGGAGGACGCGGACGCGGAGCATGACCACTAGTGCGAGCAGCATGAACAGGCGACGCAGGACGAGACGCAGGCTCATGACGCTCAGAAAGACCTCCAGTAGGACCAGTGTAGGGAGAAGGAGCAAGCAGGGGGGAAGCGGGCTGTAACTGTGACCGCGACTGGACAGGCTGTGGACACTCTGAGGGAGGAGTAGGACCAGTAGAGGGCGGGAGACCAAGAACCTGCTCAAGGAGCGGAACGAAGTACGGCCGCGGCCGCGCAGCGCCTCCAGAACTAGCAGGGACAGCACCAGTACCCCCAGCGGTAGCACCAGCGCCAGCAGCACCTCCAGCTCCAATACCGGCAACTCCAGCACCCTCAGAAGCACCAGCGCCAGCAGAACCACCAGCGCCAACACCCCCAGCAGCTCCAGCTCCAGGAGCTCCAGCAGCATCGTCAGCTCCACTACCGCCAGCAGCTCCAGCAGTACCTCCAGTAGGACAAACTCCAGCAGCCCCAGCAGCACCCTAAGTCCCAGCAGCTCCAGTTTTGCCAGTATGCGCACCTCCAGGACCAGCAGCAACAGTAGTACCTCCAGCTCCAGCAGCACGGCTCTAGTGCCGGGCAAACCACTCGCGCAGCTCCTGCGGAGAGAGTAGCTCCCGCCTCGATGAAGCACTGCGAGAGGCCACACGAGCAGACCTAGCACCCCCAGGCTCCGCACCCCCAGGCTCAGCACCCCCAGGCTCAGTACCCCCAAGCTCAGCACCCCCGGACACAGCACCCCCAGGCTCTGCACCCCCAGGCTCATCACCCCCAAGCTCAGCACCCCCAGGCTCAGCACCCCAAGGCTCAGCACCCCCAGACTCAGCACCCCCAGGCTCAGCACCCCTAGACCCAGCACCCCCAGGCTCCGCACCCCCAGGCTCAGCACCTTTAGCAGCACCAGAGTCAACAGCTACCTCGACAGGCTCGACTGCGTCTACCTGGGACACACCGGACGGGGCAGGACCCTGATGGGGGAGGGGGTCTAACGGGGGAGGACCTCGCGCAATGAAAAGCGGGGGCGGGGGGAGGGGCGCAGTGCGGTAGGGGAAGAGACGGTAGTAAGGCACCGACTCGTCAAAGGTGACGTCCTGGGAGGACAGAACACGGCGCGAGGTGGGGTGGTAAAACTGCCAACCAGGCGCGTCAGGGGGGAAGCCAAGGAAGACGCAGGGAACAGTACGGGGGGACAGCTTGTCCGTAGACATGTCGCGGACAAACGCCCGAGATCCCCAGACCCGAAACACAGACGCATCGCCAACCTTCCCCGTCCACCGCAAGGTGGGGGAGGTCTCTGGCAAGGAGACCCGGGGCTGAAGGTTGAGCTGATGCGCTGCGTACTGAACCGCAAACGGCCACAGAAAATGGGGGGCAGCCGCATAAATCACGGACGTACGAGCGGCGTCCATGACCATGCCAATGCGGCGCTCAGCAATCCCATTTTGCTGTGGAGAGGCCGGAAGCTTGAAGGTCTGGCGGATGCCCTGTGCACGACAGAAGGCTCCCAGACGGGCAGAGGAAAACTCCCCGCCTCTGTCAGAGTGCAGACGCAGAATAGGAAAGTCCAAGCCGAAACTCTCTCTGAGCTGGAGACGAGCTGCGCGGATCCAGTCGATCAACACCTCAGTGACATCACCCTTGCTGCGCAAGGGGAACACCGTGGTGTAACGCGAGTAGTCATCAACCACCAACAGGAAGTAACGCTCGTGACCCTGGCCACGGACGCGGGCGGAGCCCCACACGTCCATGTGAAGATTCTGCAGGGGAGCCTCTGTCGGAGGAAACTCGGAGGAGTGAGGGGCGGCACGCTGCCGCCCCTCGACGCAGGGAACGCAGGTAGGGGCAGGCCCCGAAGGTAGGGGAGGGAGGGCCCGGGGAAGACAAGAGACA